GGCATGGCGAGTGGATGCGCCGCAAGGCCAGCACTTGTTGGCGAGCGCGGTACTAACGAGGCAGCTCCGGCAACCGAGGCGGAGATGGATCATGTTAAGGAGATCTCCGTTGGTAGGGGCGTGGTGCAACAATGCGAGCCCCGCTCGGTTAAAAACATTTCATGCAAAATATGATTTTTTCTATATATGCACCAGATGAAAAGTGTGGGATACATTTTGCGAGGTTTGGTTTGTCATAATTATGTGAATGGCTTGAGCTTACATCCAATGTCAAACAAACAAAAACCAACACGATTGCTTGGCAGTGTAATCGAATCATGCTGTAAAACAGGCAAACCAAACGACACCATAAATGTAACCATTTTGGTCACACTTGCCCATATAGTCACCACTCAGTTCCACAACACCTGACATTCTTGGCACATTTTGGGTAGTTACACCATACACCTTCATCAGCTTCCTGATTTGCTTTGGGGTGGCAGCTGCAGATATAGCAAGCCATGAATGAACTCATTAATTCCTAGTTTGTGTTTCTAATATGTCAAGCAATTAGGTAATACTAACACCTAGGTGGCCCAAAATTGTTAAGAAAAATTGTGAATTTGGTATCTAAAGAAGGCTCACCTTGGGGGCCACCCAGTTGATTCAAGGCAACAACGAACTGGCGATGCAGAGCTCCGTCGACCAGCAGCGCCGAACCTTCCTTGCCTGCTGCTGCTGCTGCGATTGGGACTGGAGGCCAAGCGCAGGGGCGAATGGTGCCATGGTGGTGGCCCTGGCCCCTGCTTGCGCAAACCCCGCCGCCTGGCGACGGCTCTCCTCGGTGGCGATGTCAGCAGGTCTCTTGGAAGCCAGTGGTGATAGCAAGGACAGATCCGGCATCCCAGCATGCACCACCTTGTCATCCATAAACAGAGTGGCGCAAACACGGGTGTGCCGGAGCCCATAGCAGACTTGAACGGCAAGAGAGCGCCGCCGACACCGCGGGACGGCGAGCTCCTCCCCTTGTCTTGCTTTTGCGATCGCAAAGCTCCAAACTTTTAGACAACCGATGCGCTCAGAGTTCACGAATCGAGCAACCGACAACCCCCAGCGCATAGCGGCCATGGCGTCGGTGACGTTCTCGGACCTTGCCAGCATCGACAAAATGACAATGGCATCCTAGCATGTTCACACACGACAAATAAATTTGTTATTGCAAGAACTTTGCTTCTCGTTGTTAACGATGATGGAGAAGTGGTCGAGGGTGTGTGCCACCTCGTGGCTGAGGACGATGCAGGCCCCAGCAGTAGTGACATGAGAATCAGTAGTGTCATCATCAAGGAGGTTGTATGCCACGCCTAACTTCTTGAGATTCGGTGCGACAATTGTGCGCTACTGTAAGCTCCTAGTCAAACAGCTTTATTTTTAGGAGACACTTGGAGTGGATGGAGAGATTGTCCAGCCCGTGTTATTCGAGGATGTTGAGCTTATACAAGCACGGGCACCATGGTTCGGAGCATTGCCGAGGATGCACGGGACATGGAATTGGACACGGCTCAGGGAGAGGTTGGTGAGCATTGTCGAAGATGCCCTAGGGACAGAAGGCGAGGCCTTGATACCGTAGCTTGAGCTAAATCTTGGTGGCTTTCTCGAAGCAGGGCAGCTCAAAGAGGTCTCTTTCCCAGGCCTCCTCCACCTCCTCCTCGTCGTCATCGTCGGCGGCCGTGGCGGCACTCTACAGAACCACGCTGCGCTAGAGAAGGTCACCGACCAGGTGGCGCACGGCGGCGGGAAGCAAGGCATCAACAATGACATCAACATCGTGGTTCGGAGACAGCATTGCCGACATTGACGACGACGACGATTACATCCTGGCAAGTTCACACATGACAAAAACATTTATTAGAGCCAGAATTTTGCTTCTTGCTGTCAACGACAAGAGACCTTTCATCCGATGTTAAAATGGGCTCTAATCCCGGTATTTTTTGCATCCGGGACTAGAGAGACCTTTAGTCCCGGTTGGTGTCTCCAACCGGGACTAAAGGTCCCTGCCCAACGGCTACTGCGCTCGGCACAGTGGCAGAGGACCTTTAGTCCCGGTTGGAGACACCAACCGGGACTAAAGGTGGACCTTTACTCCCGGTTGGAGCCACCAACCGGGACTAAAAGTCCTCAACCTTTAGTCCCGGTTGGTAACACCAACCGGGACTAAAAGTAGACCCTTTAGTCCCGGTTGGTAACACCAACCCGGACTAAAGGACCCTTTAGTCCCGGTTCGTAACACCAACCGGGACTAAAGGTCCTCCGATGGGTTAGTTCAAAAGGGAAACATCCCATCCATTGTTAGATGTGTTGTGTAGGTGGGGTGGTAAGCTACGCGCGAGGCAATGCATGAGGTCTTGGGTTCGAATCTCACAGGATACTGCGGTGGGAGGCATTATTTTTTTAAAGCTGGGAGGACCTTTAGTCCCGGTTGGTGTTACCCACCGGGACTAAAGGTATCCCCTTTAGTCCCGGTTCCTGACCCGGGACTAAAGGACCCCCCTTTAGTCCCGGATGCTTACTCCCGGGTGAAGAACCGGGACTAGAGGGGGTTCTCCACCGGGAGTAAAGCTCTGTTCTGTACCAGTGAGAGAAGCGGTCGAGGACATGTGCCAACTCGTAGTTGACGATCATGCGGGCCCCAGCAACATGGCCACAACATGTCCATCACAATTTGCAGCGACATGAGCATCGGTACATAAAAAACATTTGTGGTAAAATATGAATTTTCTATGTATGCACCTGAGTAAAAATGTGGGATACATTTCTCTAGGTTTTGTATATCAACATTTATATGAATTCTGTACATATATTTGTTTTTTGCTAAATTAATAAGTTCTTTTATGAGGGGACATGAAATGATTTTTAGGGGCTTTGGATTGTATTATTGTGGGAGTACACCTCAATACGTGGAAAGAAATCAGATTTGGTTTTGAAAATGATAGGTCTTTCTCCATTGTGTTTGGCCACCACTTTCTACCACTCAATCGTAAATGTTACCATCTTCTCCATACTTGCCCACATAGTCAACACTCAGTTCTCCACAGCACATGACATCCTTGGCACATCACTTACTTTCTACCAACCGCCCTACCCACTGTGTAGATCTACAATTGGGAATGTTGTGATGCATCGCGCCATCACAAGAACTACATCCACCTGTAATATCATTGCATATAATATGATATAAAAGCCAAACATGGAAGTTTTAAAAACATCTCTTATAGAAACTCTTATGTGGTTTGGACCAGAACTAAAACTCTTACTAAATAGAACCATACAAGATAGGTAGTTCACAACTACAGATATGTCATCGCCGTTGGTTCAAAAGTGCCCATCACCGGTTTTTGCCCTCATTGGTGAAAGGTCAGCAGTAATCTCGTCACTGTTGGTTTCAAATCGACTTTAGAAACGAAGATCACCTCGAATAGTAATATAAATTGGGGGTAATAGTTACAAAAAGAACAAAAAAAAATCCAGCTGTCTGCAAGCCGAGGCTACTTCCAGCCCACCATCGTGGCCCCTGCCACATCTGAGAGAGGGAGAGTGGGTGACCCATGCATGGTCAGGTAGGTTGCCACCTGTGGTGCTTGGACCCCACAATGAGCCAAACTGCTGTGAAGTTTGGCGAGGGCGAAAGAGTCGCTAGTATTTTTAGGGTAATGTCTTTCTTACGGGCGTGCGGGCGTATAATGCCCCGCACACCTACGGCTCTCACGCACCAGTGCACTCTCTCGCCCATGCCCCCTCCTCTCTCTCTCTCCCTAGCTTCCGACGACCTCCTCCCCGCACCCGTCCCCCACCACTTCCTCACGCCGAGCTTGTCCCTTCACCTGCGCCGGCGAGGGCGTATGTGGTGGATCCGGCGGCGGCCATGGCGGATGTGGTGAGGTAGGACTCCTCCTCCTCCTCCTCCTGGATCTTCGAGCTAGGGTTCTAGTGAACTCTCCCTCTCATCTTTCCCAACTCCGGTGGGCTTAGAAGAGAAGGTTTGGGGTGAGGAAAGCCGGCCAAGTGGTGGGGTTGGCTGGAGGGCGGTTAGGGTGGCTGCCCAGCCAGGTCAGGGCGAGAGAGTTCTGGCGAGGGCGAGCTCCTGCGAGGGGGGGAGACAGCCGCTGCAGGCACGCTAGGGCTTTCGCCAGCGGTGGGGGTGAGAACAAGGTACTGGTGAGGAGGAAGAAAGGGGAGAGGTGGCACGCGCGCGAAGGTTGAAGACAGCCGTGCTTGTGGATGCACACACGCCCGTTTTTTTAGCCGTGTCCTATTTTTGGAGTTGTACGTGAGTTGTTTGGTGGCGTGTTGGAGACACCTTATGTATAAAAGTAGTAGCGAGTGAACTTTTTCTTTTTAGTGTGGCCTGAGCGTTTAGTTGATATAGAATGTAGTAGCAAGCGGACATTTATTTTGTTTCATTGTGGCTAGACGTGTCATGAGGTGGCGCGTCGGTACATAAAGGATTAGCAAGTGAACATCTTTTTGTTTTGATGTGGCTCAGCGGGTTGGTATAAAAAGTAGTAGCAAGCACACATGATTTAAAGTGTGGGATACATTTTTCATGGTTTCATATCTCAATACAGGAAAAACAGTTTTTGTCTGAAGGAATCCGAAGTGGTTTTGAAAACTGAAAATCTTTCTCCATTGTGTTTGGCCTCCTGTTTCTACCACTCGATAGTCAGTGTCACCATCTTCATCATAGTTGACCACATAATAGTCACCACTCAGTTCCCGGCGCTCCCTCCGTCCGCACGCTACTGCAAGGCAATCCAAAGCCCCTGTGACCGGTTGAGCATGTCCACCATGGACGGCGTCTGGTACCTATGGACGAGGCCCGTGAGGTCCGTTGAGTCACCACGCACAGTGGCACGTTGCCATGAGTGGGAGCTCAGCCCGGACAGGATGTAGGCGCAGCGAGACCCCTCGTACAGCTGCGGGTTAAGGGTGCGCTCCTGCATCTCCCGCAGCTCGGCCACTAGCGCCTACGTTTGCTGGTCCCAGGAAAGCGATGCGCATGACTCCAGCAGCAGGCGGTGGGCCCCCAGGATCGAAGCTGCACGGGTGTAGTCACCCTCCTCCGTGGTGGCCTGCGCCGCGGCCATGTCCTCCGTGGCGTGGACACGGTGCCACTGACGCTCCACCTTCAGGGAGATCCCCACCCTCACCGCGAACTCCGGGCAGAGCAGCATCACTGGGTCACCTTCCACCCGCACCATCTCCGTGGTGACCATGTCGCAGTAGGTGCAGCCTGGGCGGATGAGTGCAATGGACACGCGTGACGACGGCACGCGCACAGTGACGAGGAAGTCCCTCTCCTCGTCGGCGTAGAGGCAGCTGACGTGGACGAAGGCGACGCGGCAGTCGCCGTCCAGTCCGCTGGCGTAGCTGCTAGACATGATGGACATGAGCAGCACGCCTTAGTTGGCGCACTCGACGCTGAGCCGCGTCTCCTATGCCACCAAGCTGAGGAGGCCGCCGATGCACAGCACGAAGGCGTCCTGGATCGACCCCACCATGTCGATTAATGAGAAGGTGCCGCTGGACATCTGGGCGACGGCGTGCACCGCCCTAGAGTCATGATCCATGCCGAATCCAAAGGCATGGATCGGGACGTGGTGCTCACTCGCGGGAAGGATGGATCGCGTGACGAGCGTCGCGTAGTGCGGCGTCGAGCTGTCCCGCGGCGGGAGGTTCTAGGAGTCCACGCCGTCAGAGAGCAGGATGATGCTGCACAACGGGTTTCTGGCTTGCCTGTCCTCCACCACCCTGGCAGCTTTCCGCAGCCCCTCGGCGATGTTGGTGCCGCCATCGGCGACGAGGGAGTCGACAGCCTGCAGCAACTGCTGCTGTCCAAAGGCGGTCATCTTCCGGAGCGGGAACAGACAGCTGGCTGACGAGGAGAAGGCGATGACCTCGTGGCTGACCACGATGCAGGCCCCAGAAGCATGGCCACAACATGTCTAGCACAATTTGCAGTGACACGAGCATCAGTTGGTAAAAAAACATTTGTGGTAGAATATTATTTTTCTATGTATGCACCAGAATAAAAGTGTGGGATACATTTTCATAGGTTTGGTATGTCATAATTTATATGAATTCCCTGCATATATTTATTTTTTTGCTAAATTAGTAACTCTTTTTCTATGTGGGGACGTTAAATGATTTTTAGGTGCTTTGGATTGTGCTGTTGTGGGAGTATATCTCAATACATGGAAAACCTTCATTGCCCAAAGAAATCAGATTTGGTTTTGAAAATTGTAGGTCTTTCTCCGTTGTCCCCGCATTGTCCCCGGCACCGACCGCCGTTACTGCAGGGGCGTCCTCATCTCCATCGCCTGCGGTATCCCAACCCTGCTCCACCAGATAGCCACAAGTCTCATGCAGGCAAATGGTGTCCCTGAGCACCCACCCATTGGTGCTGCCGCCAGCAGCACCAGTGCCGCCATGCCTGCGGTCCTCGTTCATCCTGCAGAGCCAGACGTTGAGCTTGTTCTCCCCATCCACACGGAAGAGGTGTAGAGGACAGTGTTGTCTCCCCATCCACATGGAAGAGCTTGTTCAGTTAAAGACGTGAACTTTTTTCTATATATGCACCAGATTAAAAGTGTGGGATACATTTTCCTAGGATTGGTTTGTCATAATTTATGTGAATTCCCTGCATATACTTATTTATGTTTGCTAAATTAGTAACTTCTTTTATAGGGGAACATTAAATGATTTTTAGGGGCTTTGGATTGTATTATTGTTGGAGTATATCTCAATAAACGAAAAACATTTATAGCCCAAAGAAATCAGATTTGGTTTTCAAAGTGGAAACCTCTAAATAACCCCTGACGTCTTGTGTGTTGCCTACATAGCCACCAACCTACCAGACCAAGTGTTCAGCACATTAAACTTTCCCACACCAATCATTTTACCCTCGGTCTTGTGGATAGCTGCAGTGGCATTCTTGGCCACGCTCGTTTTGGGCCGCCAGCCTGTGGCGCACACTCAGCCCCGACCACCTCGTGCTCCTCCATGGGGAAGCCATCTTCCTGATGGGCGTGCACCGCCTCGTGCCCGAAGATGATGTCACGCTCCTTGTGGAGCCTAGTAGGCACTACCACACAGTGTGCGGCCTAGCTTATCTCCCGGTAGCATTCAGCGATAGTGAATTGTCTTAGGTGGCATGTGATGTTGTCTCCAGCACCGCCCACCTGTTGGTGCAGCTGCCATGCCCACGGTTGTCATTCATCCTGCGGAGCTAGACCTTGAGCCTGTTGAATTCGCCCCATCCACATGGAAGAGGTGGAGGACAGAGTCCTCCCCTCGGCAGTGGACAAGGTGTTGCCTGGGTACTGATCAAGCGCCACACCCTTAGGGAGATCGGCGAAGAAGAATCTCTCCTTGGCAAGGTCGATCTAGTCCTAGGATGTATTGGGTTGCCATATAGATCTTGTTGCAGGCGAGCACAATAGTAGGCAGGATATGGACCGTTGACTTATCGAGAAGACCCGTGGCTATGCAGCAGATGGCCCAGGAGCCGGACCGTAGGACACACACCAGTCCCACGACCTTATTGTCTGACTCCTAGGTGCAGACGCTGAAGAGGTAGCACAAGGCATTGTCATTGTGGTCGGCTGGGAGAAGCATCACATGGCCGTACACTCCGAGAAGGTGGACAGCTGCAGCGACCGTGGGAGCACCATGGCCTTGTCCTTGTTAGGGTACAGCAGTGGGGAACGCACAGCGAGACAAGCTCCGTCGAGGCGCCGCGAGGCCAGCACTTGCTGGTGAGCACGGCACTAACGACTGAGCTCCGGCATCCAAGGCCTAGAAGGATCTTGTCAAGGAGATCTCCATTGGTGGGGGCGTGTTGCAATGATCCCAGCCCCGCTCGGTTAAAAACATTTCATGTAAAATATGATTTTTTTTCTATATATGCAACAGATTAAAGTGTGGGATACATTTTCCTACGTTTGGTTTGTCATAATATATGTGAATTCCCTGCATATGTGTATTTTTATTTTTGCTAAATTAGTATATTCTTTTATGGGGGGGACATTAAATGTTTTTAGGGGCTTTGGATTGTACTGTTGTGAGTGTATATCTCAATAAAAGAAAAACATCCATTCTTGGCCATAATCATCTTGGGTCGCCGAACTATGGTTGCGCACTAGGTTTTTTCTATGTGTTGCTATGGACTAAGCACCTATGTATCTCACATCCAACACATATTAGTCCACCTAGGTTATCACTCAATTATCAAAACCAAACCAGGGTCTTTCACAAGCTCCTACACAATTCTAGTGATCATGGTAAACAACAAGCTGCCAGTAGAACTAGCAAGCTACTCAAACAACAACAAAAACTACATGAGGCAAACAAGCAAGTGGGCAAAAGGACTACGCAGGCACTAGATTGCACAAAGTAAAGAGCAAGTGTAGAATACGCAAACCATGGGAACAATGAAGATACAAGATTTTTCTTCTGAGGTTCGATGATTCGCGCGATCACCTACTCCCCATGGTGGCATGTACAAAGACTGCATATCACACCTAGTCACGTAATATATATCCCGCTCTTATAATCAGGTGGATACAAGAAGAAAACATATTTTAAACAAATATTTTTTTTGTTTCCAAACAAGTCCACAAATACTTGATTTTTGCACAGTGATTCAATTTGCACATAGCAGAAAGTTCAAATCACAAGACCTTCCTATGTCCTTCCTCTTCCAGCGCGGCGATTGACGTTACTATAGTTCTCTTGCATCCCTCCCGCCTCGTCACACCGAATGCCCCCACAAGTCACGCTGACCATCATCCCATCACCACTTTCCAAATCTGCCCACACTTCCCCCCACACGGCACCACACACCAACTGGGGTGGCAGTATAAATGGTGCCTCACCACTAATCCCCAAACCCACCACAAAACCCTAGCCCTCATGGGTCAGGCGGCGCTAGAGGCGGAACGAGAGCTTGGCAGAGGCATCCATGTATCGGAGTGGCGTTGCTTGCTGGCTCACCGCCAGGTTTTGACGATACCATAGATTGGCGCGACCAGACGTTGGGCCAAGATTCGAAGAACGTGTATTCAAAATTTCAAAAGGTAAACAAATGGATTGATTCAGCCTTATTTTTTAACATGTATGATTGATTGTACCTTGAAATACCTTTTATCGGTAAAAATAATGGGTAGTCAATGAATACCCTTGAAATCGCCTAGGCGATGATGAGCAGCCATGTGGAGCGGCTGTGTGCGCGGCAAGATAAGCGGAGCGCTCAACTGCGGTGCGGCATCACCGCGGCCACCTAGATCCAGCGACGGCTCACGCGTGAGGCCACACCGACAACGGATCTGGCGAGCGTGGGCTTCTCAGGCGATGGCACAGGTGCGGGCCTCTCTGACGGTGGCGGATGCGTAAATCAAGCAGTGCCACGGAGGATCCTGCGAGCGGCAACAGCAAATCGATGGGCTCAGCGGGCCCTGTGGATCGGCTAGGCGGGATTGCTGCTTTTTATTTTTTTAACTCATTAATGCAGGCGAGCATATGTCCGCCCCTGTTAATCCAGATTTACCCAGATGATTTGGCGGAGGTGAACTGGTTGCCCACCAGCCAAAACTGCTACTGTATTAATGGATGACGACCTCCCACTGTGGGGCGGGGCCGGAAAGGGGAAAAGCGTCGACAGAATGACACGTCTGCCGAGACGATTGAGCGCGAGGATGCGGTGACCGCGGGAGCACCATGGCCTTGTCCACGTTAGGGTACATCAGTGGGGAGCGTACAGGGAGACTATCGCGGTGGCAGGTCTCGCCATCGAACTCGAAGAGGACCAAGCCGTTTCTGCAGTCCCAAACGTTCGGCACCAGCAAGTCCCCGAAACCCAATTCAGCACTCACCGCCGCGCTAGAGGCATCAGGAAGCAGGATGAACTCCGAGCCAGAGATGCCTCCACTAGAGATGTAGACCTGAGTAGGCACGACGAGTGGAGGCGCCGTGGGGCCAACACTTGCTGGTGACCACGGCTCTAATGACTTAGCCCTAGCATATAAGGTAGAGAAGGATCTTGTCAAGGAGATCTCCGTTGGTGGGAGCGTGTTGCAACGACGGGAGACACCTCGTAGTTGACGATGATACGGGCCCCGGCAACATGGCCAAAAATGTCCATCACAATTTGCAGCGACATGAGCATCGGTACATAAAAAACATTTTGTGGTAAAATATGAATTTTCTATGTATGCACCTGATTAAAAATGTGGGATACATTTTTCTAGGTTTTGTATGTCAACATTTATGTGAATTACCTACATATATATATTTATTTTTTTGCTAAATTAGTAACTTCTTTTATGGGGGACATGAAATGATTTATAGGGGCTTTGGATTGTATTATTGTGGGAGTATACCTCAATACAAGAAAAACATTTATTGTGGAAAGAAATCAGATTTGGTTTTGAAAATGATAGGTCTTTCTCCATTGTGTTTGGCCACCACTTTCTACCACTCAATCGTAAAAGTAACCATCTTCGTCATACTTGCCCACATATTCAACACTCAGTTCCAAAGCACACGACATCCTTGGCACATGACTGCCTACCAACAGCCCTACCCGCTGTGTAGATCTACAATTGGGAATTTTGTGATGCATCGCGCCATCAGAAGAACTACATCCACCTGTAATATCATTGCATATAATATGATATAAAAGCCAAACATGGAACTTTTAAAAACATCTCTTATAGAAACTCTTATGTGGTTTGGACCAGAACTAAAACTCTTACTACATAGAACCATACAAGATCGGAAGTTCACAACTACAGATATGTCGTCGCCGTTGATTCAAAAGTGCCCATCACCAGTTTTCGCCCTTGTTGGTGAAAGGTCATCAGTAATCTCGTCACTGTTGGTTTCAAATCGACTTTAGAAATGAAGATCACGTCGGCTCGTAATACAAACCGGGGGTAATAGTTTTATAAAAAAACCCAAAAAATCCAGCTGTTGGCAAGCCAAGGCTACTTCCAGCCCACCGTCATGGTCCCTACCACACCTTTTGTATAAAAGTAGTAGCGAGTGAACTTTTTCTTTTTAGTGTGGCCTGAGCGGTTAGTTGATATAGAAAGTAGTAGCAAGGGGACATTTATTTTGTTTCGTTGTGGCTAGATGTGCCACGAGGTGGCGCGTCGGTACATAAAGGATTGGCATGTGAACATCTTTTTGTTTTGATGTGGCTCAGTGGGTTGGTATAAAAAGTAGTAGCAAGCACACATGATTTAAAGTGCGGGATACATTTTTCTTGGTTTTATATCTCAATACAGGAAAAACATTTCTTGCCTGAAGGAATCCGATGTGGTTTTAAAAATTGAAAATCTTTCTCCATTGTGTTTGGCCTCCTGTTTCTACCACTCGATAGTCAATGTCACCATCTTCATCATAGTTGCCCACACAATAGTCACCCCGCAGTTCCCGGCGCTCCCTCCGCCAGCACGCTACTGCAAGGCGATCCAAAGCCCCTGGGACCGGTTGAGCATGTCCACCATGGACGTCGTCTGGTACCTGTGGACGAGGCCCGTGAGGTCCGTCGAGTCGCCAAGCACAGTGGCACGCTACCATGAGTAGGAGCTCAGCCCGGACAGGATGTAGGCGTCGCCAGACCCCTCATACAGCTGTGGTTTCAGCGCGTGCTCCTGCATCTCCCGCCACTCAGCCACTAGCGCCTGCGTTTGCTTGTCCAAGGACAGCGACGCGCACGACTCCAGAAGCCGCGCTGGTGTAGTCGCCCTCCTCCACGGCGGCCTGCTCCGCGGCCATGTCCTCCGTGGCATGGACGCGGTGCCACTCGCGCTCCACCTGCAGGGACATCCCCGCGCTCACCAGGAACTCCGGGCGGAGCAACATCACCGGGTCGCCTCCCACCCGCACCTTCTCCGTGGTAACTGTGTCGCGGTAGGTGCAGCTCGGCCGGATGAGTGCAACGGACACGCGTGACGGCGGCACGCACACGGTGACGAGGAAGTCCCTCTCCTCGCTGGCATAGAGGCGGCCGACGTGCATGAAGGCGCCGCAGCAGTCGCCGTCCACTCCGCTGGCATAGCTGCCAGACATGATGGACATGATCAGCAGCACGCGCCTTAGTCGGCCCACTCGACGCTGAGCCGTGTCTCCTGCGCCACCACGCAGAGGAGGCCCCGATGCACGACGCGAAGGCGTCCTGGATCGACCCCACCACGTCGATTAATGAGAAGGTGCCGCTGGACATCTGGGCGACGGCGTGCATCGCAGTGGAGTCGTGGTCCATGCCGAAGCCAAAGGCATGGATCGGGACGTAGTGCTCGCTACCGGGAAGGATGGAGCGTGGGACGAGCGGCGCGTAGTCCAGCGCCGAGCCGTCCCGTGGCAGTAAGTTGTAGGAGTCCACGCCGTCAGAGAGCAGGATGATGCTGCACACCAGGTTCCTGGCTTGCCTGTCATCCACCATCCTGGCAGCTTTCCGCAGCCCCTCGATGATGTTGGTGCCGCCATCGGAGACAAGGGAGTCGACAGCCTGCAGCGACTGCTGCTGTCCGAAGGCGGTCATCTTCCAGAGTGGGAACAGCCTGCTGGCTGACGAGGAGAAGGCGATGACCTCGTGGCTGACGACGATGCAGGCCCCAGCAGCATGGCCACAACATGTCTAGCACAATTTGCAGTGACACGAGCATCAGTTGGTAAAAAAACATTGGTGGTAGAATATTATATTTCTATGTATGCACCTGAATAAAAGTGTGGGATACATTTTCATAGGTTTGGTATGTCATAATTTATATGAATTCCCTGCATATATTTATTTTTTTGCTAAATTAGTAACTCTTTTTCTATGTGGGGACATTAAATGATTTTTAGCGGATTTGGATTGTGTTGTTGTGGGAGTATATCTCAATACAAGGAAAACCTTTATTGCCCAAAGAAATCAGATTTGGTTTTGAAAATTGTAGGTCTTTCTCCGTTGTCCCTGCATTGTCCCCAGCACCGACCACCGTTACTGCAGGGGCGTCCTCATCTCCATCGCCTGCGGTCTCCCAACCCTGCTCCACAAGATGGCCGCAAGTCTCATGCAGGGAAATGGTGTCCCTGAGCACCCACCCGTTGGCGCTGCCGCCAGCAGCACCAGTGCCGCCATGCCTGCGGTCGTCGTTCATCCTGCGTAGCCAGACGTTGAGCCTGTTCTCCCCATCCATATGGAAGAGGTGCAGAGGACACTGTTGTCACCCCAGCAGTGGACAAGGTTGCCTGGGTATTGATCAAGCTCCACACCCTAATGGAGATCGACGATAAAGAATCTCCCTTGGCGAGGTCCAGTCATAGAATGTATCCTGCTTTGGGTTGCCATGTAGATCTTGTCGCCGGTGAGCACAGTAGTCAACAGGATCTGCACCAGTAACTTAGGGACAAGACCCGTGTCTAGGCAGCGGATAGCCCAGGAGCCAGACAGCAGGACACACACCAGTGCTGCGACCTTATTGTCTGACTCCCAGGTGCACACGTTGATGCTGTAGCACAAGGCGTCGTCGCCGTGGTCGGCTGGGAGGATCATCGCATGGCAGTACTCTGGAAGGGAGATAGCTGCGACGACTGTGGGTGCACCATGGCCTAACCCATGATAGGGTACAACAATGGGGAGCGCACAGCGAGACCAGCATGTCAAAGGTCTCGCCACTGAACTCAAAGAGGACCAAGTCGTTCCAGCAGTCCCAAACGTTCGACGCCGGTGAGTCGCCGAAACCGAAGTCAGCACTCACCTCCGGGCTACAGGCATCAGGAAGCAGGATGAACTTCGAGCCAGAGATATATCCAATTCCACTGGAGACGTAGACCCCAAGTAGGCACGTCGAGTGTAGGCGCCGCAAGGCCAACACTTGCTGGTGTGTGCAGTACTAACCAGGCAGCTCCGGCATCCGAGGTGGAGAAGGATCTTGTCAAGGAGATCTCCATTGGTGAGGGCGTGGTGCAACGATGGGAGCTCCGCTCAGTTAAAGACATTTCATGTAAAATATGATTTTTTTTCTATATATGAACCAGAATAAAAGTGTGGGATACATTTTCCTATGATTTGTTTGTCATAATTTCTGTGAATTCCCTGCATATATTTATCCTAAATACTACTTTACGAGCACGCGCGCGTTAGCGCTGGGGAATGCGCACCATTGCTACCGTCCGATCTCTCCGTGCAGATGCAGCCACGAGCCCACAACGAAGCAGACATGGCCCACAAGCCACAAGTATCAACGTTTCTCAGATATCGATTCCCCATTTCCTCTCTGTTCTCTCTCCTCCCTTTCGTTCTCTGTCTTCCCATTTCATTTCCAATCCCGTACAAAATTCAAAAGTGAATCCAGCAGCCGGAGCTACGCCCTGCAATCCCCGACGAATCTATCAGTAGCCGGTGACAAGGGGGCAAAAGCCCTTCGAATCTGGGTGGACGCCGTTGACGAGCGCTTGTGGACGGAGGTAACAGGGAGGATTTCGCCCATGGTTCATGGAGAAGGAACCTCGATGGTTCAAGAAGGGTGGTGATCTGGTGGATTTTGGCATCCCGCTGCCAGCGATGTTCCACCTCCCCTAGGCTCCCATTGGTTTGTAAGGTGCGTATACATTTCCATCCCATTTTTCTTCAACTAGCCCATTCTAATCCCAGTGAATCTCGCATCAATGGGGCTCCGATCCCTAGTGAATCTGGTAGAAGCTAGGTTTCAAATCACTGTCAATTTCGCAGCAGACTGTGAACTGGCCCTTCGAATACGGCTAGATGAAAGATTTGTAGCTTCGAATCGAGCTGCGTTTGGTGTTCCAATGAGGAGCTGCGACGGGAGGTTGCCTTGCCTATGGTGGTTTCCGCGGTGGTGGAGATGTTCGTTTTGGGTCCATCATCATCCTTCCCCTTCCCCCATTCGCATCCGTTTGTTGTTCTTCGCCGTTTCGATTTCATATGCCCTTCTAATCCTCCATGTTCTCCATATTGAATCTCACTTTATGAATCCATGGCAGATCTGTCACTATCGGTGAATCTCGCCTCTGTTTAGTTCGTCTCCTCCACGAATCAGTCGCTGCTAAGCTTCAATCAAAGTGGCGGATCTCCAATTTGGGCGCCACAAAATGTAGGTTCATTAGCATTTCCTAAGCATTTAGGTTCATTTTTGGGAATATCCCTGCCATTTTGTATGCATTCCTACTGAATTTCACTCTCAGTCTAGCTTCGGTACTACATGTGTGTTGGTGCCCTATACTATGTACTTAGATTTTTCATGCGGTCTGCACTTAGATTTGATAGAACACATGGTAGATGTGGTCTAAGTGATCTTTCATGTGGTGTGTTTGGAGGCCTAGGGTTTTTTCATGAGAAGTGCATTAGTGATGAGCTTTGTCATATGTGCAGTAGCTATTATGCCTTTTCTTAGATTTTGTAATAAAATGTGAATATGGCTATTATTCATGTAATGATGTGGTTATTCATGACAAGTGCGTATTCCCTGGTTGCTTCTCCTAATTGTTAATATTTATCCGCCTCCCTGTCATTTCAAATCTGCACCTAAAATCTTTTTCAAAACTCATGTTGTGATGTGCCTAGATTTTTTTTCTCATAAGTGGTTCCGTTTTGATAACTACAAGTGTGCACGTGCTCTCCTACCTGTTAGTATTGATGCCTGTTCACCCTTACTTGCCTGTGCACTTTTCTGTCATTGTAAATGACTGTGCAATGTACCCTGAAGATTTATATGTTTTTTCTTTTTTCTTAAAAAACTCATGTATTGACGAGCCTAGTGCACAAGTGAGAACTTTGCATTATTGGAACTGCTGGTTGTTCACTGCTTTCAACTATATCCAATGGTATGTAAGGTTTACCCAGCTCCATGCTATGTTCATAAAAATTTTACTGGTTCTAGATCAATATGGTGAAGTTGGGATCATTTTTAATCACAAAGTTTTTAGAACCGACTAAAATTCCACCGGAGTAGTATGTAGATTCGGTGAGAAACCGGGGGTGCTTTCCCCTCCATTTCTCTTGGAATCTCTGTAATTCCCTGTTCCAGTGGCTTAAAATAATGTGGTTGGACTTGATCTTGGCTTCATCATGCACTTACTGTTCATTTCTTTCCTTTTCCAGGTACCACATTTATTTGCTCTCATCTGGTGCTTTGTGTTTCATTTACAAATCTTTTGTGTCACGTCAAGTATGTTTTGGTTCCCTTCTCTACCTATTATTGATTGTTAATTCTTGTTAGTGTATACAATATACACACTTGTTAGTATGCCATGGAGTCATTAGTACTGGTACTCCCTTTTTCTAACAATGCTTCTAGTTTGACGGTAAACTTTCTTTGATTAAATGGTTGCCGTAATTTTTTTTAACAAATTATGATCACTATTGGATTAGTATAACACAATCTATTGTCACTCTTATTTCTAACAATACTTCTAGGCCTATATGGATTCAAAGTTACTTTTTTCTGTAGATAAATACACGCACTGTACACCAGAAATGCTTTTTGTTTCATACATAAATGCCTTCCATACCAATCTAAATTTCAAATATTTTGGCACACGTACCTAGCCTAGCTTTAACTCATCCCTCCATTTTGTTTCAACTTTTGGTGGTGTCAGCCACTTGTATGTCAATACCTTGTGAATATTGGCAATATCTTCCTCCTTATAGTTGTATGTTGATCGCCCGTCCTAGTGTTTAGCATGCATGAGCATATCAGCTCCATAATCATGGTTGCGATAACGTACAGTTCAACACTTAACATTTAATTTAACCATTCTATAAAATTTGAAGCACATGAACCAATGTCATTTTAAACTGACGTATTTTATTGTTTTAGCGCAAAAATGTCCACAACCTCGTAGTTGCTATGCCCTTCTTTGTGTTTGGGTAGTGTTATCTCAAATCTGTTGCTCCTTAGGTTTAGAACCACCGTAGTAGTGTCCCACTGATTCTGATCCTCTATTTTCGATGGCTTGAAGCATAGGGACCATTACCTGTGTTGTTTTTGTTTACATCGTTAGTAATAATGTGCCAAAAAACATACACTAAATTTGAATATGCTGAATGTATGAACAAATTCATATATGAACAGACCATCTAACAATTGCGATTAGGGGTGGCCATGGGCGCCTTTAGATGGAGCTTCCCTCCATGTTGTCCGCTGCTGAAGAGACCCAAGGATCAACAAATGTGATGGCGAGCATGTGGCCAGTGCATTGCGTGATGCTTTCCCATCATTGCTTGAGGCATTATTAAAATTATTACCCCTTTCACTCATCACAACAAAGGTAGGCCCATGGATCATACCTTTCTTCATCACACCAGTGCAATGCCTAATCATCACAACTGTCGTGAGCCCACATATTTAATTTAGAGCCAAGTTATGCTAAATCAGCAAGCAATTTTTTCATTTTGGTTTAGCATTTTTAGTGTTCTAATGATCTGCCATTGATGATGATGCCAATCCATGCTTTTGTACTAGAGGATAGGGCTTAAAGAGACTAATTTGTGTATTTTTAGATGACGTTAAAGACTACCTCGTGTGATACTAACTTCATTTAGCCCGGGAGTAATTTTTTCTTTGCACGCACACACCCATCCGCCGTTAACAGATGATCCAATGCACCTGCGCTGATGGAAGCCTCTGGAAGCCGACCTTATGACAAGCACCTCTGCAATATCTCACATTTATCTCCTCCCTTTCTCTCCCCTGCCATGCGCTTGTCGACACCCCCTTGCCCTCCGTCTCTGCCGTGGTGGAGGGCAAGGGCGGGAGCGTATTGCACGTCTATGGCTCCGACAGCAAGCTGCCCCATCAATCGGGTGGTGCATCCACGTCTCCCTCTTCTACAAGGCTGCGACGCCCTTCCACTTCATGCCCCCTGAGCGGGCACCACTTAGTCGCCCCGTGCTCCGCCTCTCCATTGTCAGTGTGGAGGTCTAAGGCACTGCTGCCGAGCTGCTGGGCCAGGTGGGCGCACGGTTCGAGTGCAAGCCTCGTGTCGTGTTGCAGGAGTAGCCTTGCACGGCGTGGCTATGTGGTCCGGGCTGCCCCACGACCTTGGATCCGGATGGCGTTTTGCTCCTCACCGTGTCACCATCCCAGTTCCTCCTCCAAGCGGGGCCACATAGGCACTCGCTGATCTCGCCTTTACATCTAACCTTGCTCGCCTAAATTTTAGAACTATGTGAACT